CTGTTAAAAAGGAAAACCGTGTCACTTCAACAACAAACATGACACCACCCGCACCGTTTCGCCAAGAGAAACGGTGCCTGCTGTCAACACGGTCCGGTGTGACACACCGCACGACGCCGCATCGCGTTTCGCGGTCGGGGTCACCGCACGACGTTCGTCGTCGTCGTTTCGCCGAGCTTCGGCCATGCAGAGCGATTGAGCCAAGTCTGGCTCCAAGGCGACATCGACCCACCCTGCGGTGGCTCGGGAGTGTGACCCGTCTGGGTCTGACTCAAGTCAGTCACATCGGTGGAATTGGTGTTCGCAAGACCGAGGTGGAACTGTTTGTTGGAGCAACTTCGGGGAACAAAAGACTCGTTTGTTTTTGAACTGGGACAAAAAGAGTTGCTATAGGTGGACGAATTTGCCCCACAATGGGACACTCCTTTTCAGCCTTGATGCACCAGTGGCGACGTGGGTGCTATCAAGTGCGCTATCGGCTATCACCTCCAAGGGTTTGAGTTCACTTGACCTTCGCTCAAGTTTAGACGATCCAACTGAGATCTGGAAGGACTCCACAAAAAGAAGAAGCGAATTGGATTGAACATTCACTGACACTTCACCAGGTCCTACCAGGTCGTTTCCTTTTGAATCCATTTCCCTTACCCTTGGGGGATCGGCACACCGTGGCTTTCAAGGCTGACACCGACTCGCTCCGACTCGCTCCACTCCGCTCATGTTCACTCTCTATGGCTCTGGAGCTGGAGCCCTGTGTTGTTCAATGGAGTTCGCAAGATTTCTATGGAGTTCTGTACCAGAAAACACTCGGAATTTCCAGACAACGACATGAATCCTCCATCCACTCGGGACTGCGCACCATGTGAGTCTTCGGTCAGGCCTGCAAAGGGACACGAAGTCGACGTCGTACTCTGTGAAACGGCAGCCCAAGTCCCAACGCTTCAACATCTTCAACCAGTCCTTTTCCAAACCCAATCAGGAGTTGAAAGAGTCCCTTTCTGAAGGGGAGTCACTTGAAGAGTCCTTTCACCATTCCTTACAAACACACTTCAAGAAAACTGAACCTCATGAAGTCAACCTCCTAAGATGAACAACTTCACCCAACTTCGGGGCTGGACGTCGATCCCCTTCATGTTCGTCCATACAGACCCACATTCTCCGAAGGCGAAGACGATTCGAAACTGCCCCCCTGGGACGGACCTGTCACTTTTCCGCAATCTGATTTTCCAAGTCGGGAAGTTCAACAACAATTGTTTCCAATTGAAACAAAGGATAATCCAGAGCTGTTGAACTGCTAACATCTGGCCAGCTTTGCAAAATACTGGTTGATTCTTCGAACACAAACAGGTCGGGTACTTTGACCAGCAATCTTAATGAATCATAAATAATTGCCAAATTTAGGTTGGCTTTTGACCCGCCAAAAGCTGCAGGTTGACCATTACGTGGAACCCCTTTAGATCCTACGAGTCTTGGCACAGTGTAAAAACAAGAAGTGGGTGCCCACACATTCTTCCTTCAATTAATGGCCTGCCTGGGAGGATTGAACGATTTCCTGTTTGGCATCTCTTCCTTCACTCAAGAGATGAACTTCAAAACGAGACCCCACGAGAATGGCCTGGGGAGTCTGCGTCCCATACCCCAAGGATAGGGTTGAATACGGTACATTTATACGTTTTTATGCAACGAGGCCTCCTCTTTCATCAAATCAGATTCTGACTCAACTGAAATACCGGTGGTCAGCCGCGGCCGCGCCTGAGCTGCTGAGGCTCCACTCCTTAATGGGCTCCATCGGCTACCAGCCTGGAGCTTGGAGTTAGAAGCTGAGCAATGAATCGGGAAGCTCTGTGGCACACGTGGATTGTGTGTGTGTGTCAACTCCTGTTTCCAAGGAATATGACCACACTAAGGGACTTTCATTTGTACAGAGCAGGGGACCAGGCAGGATACATCGTCACCTGGTCAACGAAGCTGGCGATGTATCCAAGGATATGGAAATGGGACGCCATTTCCACGTACCTACACTGCTATCCAGGGAAACAGAAGGAAATGGTTCTCGGCGGACTTGTGCGTCGGTTCCTTTCGTTCTGTTGACCCTTTTCTAATCTAATGAGCGGTTCGCAAGTCTCGCCCCCTAGCTACAAACTGGAACCTTCATTTCCTTTTCTAGCTATTTTCCACCCTATTTGAAGCGATTCCTTTGGTCTCGCTTCCAGATAACTTACCCCATTATGCACGGCCGTAATTCGGGACCGCTAAGTATTCAGCAACTAAGTCCGGGACTTCATCAACTGATACAGCTCTTGCAAGCATTGATCTATGTGTGTGTGTTTTCATGTGTATTGTTCACTTTCTTTGTTGGGGATGTAGACCTCTTTTGCGGGTTTCGATAGCTTTGCAGTCGGCGAGGGATTGTAAGAGATTGCATTCCATATAATATATTCCATGTGGACGTTGGTCATCTTACCTGCACTGGACTTGCACTGGACTACCCGCACTGGACTTGCAACAAGGATTTAGCAACGTTGGGAAACCATGCATACAACATCCAGTCAAGCAACATCCAGTCAAGCAAATTCTCCCTATGTGTTGCTGGTTGCTTGGCGGTTTTCTTGCTTGTGACATCTTTCTGCCGCTTCGCTTCACCAATCTGTCAGGATTTGAACCATGTTGAACCCTCCAAGCTGAACCTAAAGATCAACAGATCCATAGCCTTCACACCTCCTTCACATGACGCCTGCACTGGGCAGTCGATGATTTCATTGCCTTTGATGAAAAGGAACCAGTCTGACATCATATGTCTGAGATGGTGCATGTCAGTACAAGTCTGAGCAGTCCAAACTCTTCGTCCCCCCAAAAAGGGCCCCTGCGCGTGGCCTGTCTTGAGCAGCCCAAGACGCAAATCGAAAAGGAATGATGTGATCAAATGATCCAACCTTGACGTTTTGCCAGGGCCATGTCTATTTCAGTAATGAAACCCATACAGTACCAGCAAGAAGGGAGATTGAGTGCCTTCCGTTCATTTTGCAATCCCAGCAGTGTCTTCCTGGGTATTTCCCTCCGCCCCGCAGCGCCCGCGTCGCGCCTACGCCTTCGCCCGTCACGAAACCGGGAAACCGACCGCGTCCGGGCCGACAAAGGAGCAGCGGTGTCCGCGGCAGAACAGGGTTGGCGGGTGGGGGCAAGGTCAGAGGGGTACAAAATGGGACAAGTTGTGTGCGGGGTTTCTGCTGTGGCTTCGTAGTCGTCTGGCTGATCTTCTTAGCTTCACGAAGTTCTTTGCACTTCTGCAAACATAGTGGCACGATCTCAGTGCTTTATTCACTGGTCGAACTGGTCTTCAGGGTCCACCCCAAAAGCTCTGGGATCTCTATGCCCCAGGCCCCTACTAATGCATGCCAGGTACAGGGAGTACACTCCGCAATGTATGCGGTGGAAAGGCTGGTCTACAATTTGTGGCTCCTTGAGGTACAAGGTCACCAGTGCTTCGAGAGTGACTTCTAACCTCCAGCTGCGGTATGGGGCGCTTACATCGGTACCCTAGGTCCTATGAAAATGGTAATGGAAAAGAAAAACCGTAACCATGGTTGGTTTTTGAAAAGTGGTCATCGAAGGGGCCATTTTCCACTTCCATGAATTTTCCAAGCAAGGTACTGTTTCCTGCTGAGGTTGTGCAAAGGGAATCGAAGGCAATAGAAAACCAACCCAGACTGCCACCTGCTGGGACTTCCCCGGTGGTTTTCGGAGGCTTCTCATTCCACCCCGGCAAAACTTCGACATGACAGTAGTGTTGGCCTCCTGAAAGAAACCAACTTCTGCAAGGTGGATTTGTTTGATGGTTGGTTGAGCCTCCATGACTGCATCCCCATACTGCATAGCATTTTGGAAGACAATACATTATATTTGGACTGGCTTTGGACCTTGCTGCTACTGGCATACGCTATGCTACCGGCGCTGGCAGGAGGCCAGCTGCCACTGACACGGAGGTCTTCCCTCGTACTTGATTCATGGTTCTCTGTCTAAGAGTGCTAAGAGAGGAGGGCCAGCCGGATGCAAGAACCACCATCACCATCTCAGTGAGGAGGAGTCTACTTCACCATCTTCCTCATCACGATCACCATCATCACCAGCACATATTATCCCCATCTTCCACTTGCACCGAATCCCCATTCCACACGGACTCCACGTCGTGCAAACGCGCGTGTCTGAGGTGGCCACTTGCAGATCGACGTCCGACAACTCCACCTGGCCGGTAACGGTGGACCGGAATGAGTTCCTGGAAGTTCAATTGTTGAACTGAAAGGACTATATGATTTAAAACCTGTCTATAGTCTATAGATTGATTTTCTAGCAAAACTTCTTTCACTTCTTGCTCATCATTTCAACAGCTCTTCACTTCTGGAAGTTGACAGAATCCAACATATCCACAATCATGAAAAAATCAAAGCAATCTGACAGCCTAACCTACATCTTCTACCCTAGCTACCGACCTGGGACCAGATCCGTGCATCGGCGCAGCAAATGCGTAGCGACGGGGTGGCAAAGAGGGAGGAAAACACTCGAAGGGTCAGCGTTGCAAACGACTCTTGTTTGAGATTGAGGCGGCAAACCCTGAAGACTGCAAGCAAGCCTTGTTTCAGTCACGCAGGTTCAGCTCAACGAATCAATCATGCGTTCCTTGCCCTCATGGATTCTCAGGCAAGGTGTGTATTTAACTCACCCGTCTGACAATCCATGTTTGCCATACATTTAATGACACAGCCATGAGTATGGTTAAGTGCGCTAGTGAGGTAGCTTTGAAGGCCGAGCATCCGAATGCCGCCGTCACCACCACCACCACCACCAACAACAACAACAACAATTGGCCTACTTCTCAAATTGGACAAACAACATTCAATCTATGTCGATTTGGCCAAAAGGTCAACAGCTTGAAAGCTGGGCTTGATTGCAAACATCACCCAAAACAGAATCAACTTCAGCCCATGGACCTGCAAATGCAGTTTGTTTCATTCACTTTCCTTGACCTTACCGGCTGGCCGGTACACCATCCACTCCTCCCCCACCAAACACCTGGCCCTCTGGGTGTCCCCGGCGGAGCTTCGCAGGAAGCTCTGCGTGTCCATGGCATGGACCCGGACGCCCCGGCGTTCGGCCAGGTCCTAGTGGACGAGACGAAAGGCGAAAAGGAGGAGACGTGTCCTGACTTAGGCATCAGCTACTTCTGCCATTAATTAGGTGTGGGATTCAACACCGTGCGGGCCAAGCAGCACAACACTAGACTTTCTTATAGGTGCCACTGCACAACATGTGTTTGGTTATGAATGGTTCATAGGGATGACGACCAAGTGCTGTTATTGAAAAATGACCGTGATTTAGGCATTTAGTTGGCTGCCATATCGAGGGTTTGTTGCAGATTCAGTAAATACATGTATTGCAATCTTTCTTTGGATTGCAACCCACTATGAATATCCGATCGACATGTTGGCGTCCATGCTTTGACACCAACACTTTTCTCTCTGCTCCGGGCGTGCACTTTGGTCGGCGAGAAGGCACCTCCACGCATGGCGGGTGGATGCAAAACACGTGGTCGAGATGGACGGCACACCCAGTCTGCGTCTGTCACGGACTCTCTTCAGGGATCGTTGTTCGACACAAAATGAATTGGCGACCTGTTGGAAGGTCCTGGTGAAGGCATTGTGTCGTCCCTCACATTGGGGCGTGAAACTCCGTTCAGCCGCATAAGTCCCGGAAGGTCGCCAAGGTGCTGCAACATGGCACTGTCTATGGAATCCTAAATCATCAGTTCTTGGGGAGTTTTTCCCTTCCGGGAGGCATAGAAACACATGCTTTGCAGGAGAAAGGACACCCAATGATCGTGTTGGGGGGAGGACACGCTGTTGGATGCTGCAACAAAGAACCAGTTGTGGACAGAATCGCAGTTGATGGACAAAAAGTTTCACCTTCACCTCCTTACACATTGTAGAGATATCTGACGTGCTGCAAATCAAAGACCTCAAACCGGTGAAAAATTGATCCAGCAACAAACCAATATGAATCAAGTCCTTCTTTCCTCTTCATCCAGGGTGTGTTTTTTGTTCTTGATCCCCACATGTTTGTGTGTTTCTGTTCTTCCTGTGGCATCCTGGTTCTTTCCTTCCTCCTCCTCCCGCCTCCTCCTTCTTCTCAATCACTCAACTCACACAACAACTCATCATCACAACTCATCAAAGCAACGCATCCACATCAACTAACTCACACGACTCAACTGACAGAACTCAAACAATTCAACTCATACAAGTCAACTCACACAGCTCAACTCCCACAGCTCAACTCACAAAACCCAACTCACAACTCAAATTACGCAAGTCAACTCCCACAGCTCAACTCCCATAACTTCACTCACACAACACCTCCATGAATCATCTCACACAACCCAACTCAAGTGACAAAACTCAACTCTTACAGCTCAATTCATACAACTCAACTGTTTTGGTCGCCGCGTTTGGTGAGGGGACGGTAGTAATAGTAGTAGTAGTAGTAGTAGTAGTAGTAGTAGTAGTAGTAGTAGCAATAGTTGCATGTCCAATGTCGAATGGTGACACATCTCCGTCGTCTGGCTGTTTGCAGTCGATTTTGACTCTGTTTACAAGAGCGGACGATGGAACAACCGTGGTGGTGGTGGTAGTGGTCGTCGTCGTCGGAGTGGTAGTTACCTGGTAGTGGTAGTAGTAGCAGTAGGCAGTAGTGGTAGAGATGGCAAAGGTGGTGATAGTGGTGGTGGTAGTAGTACTAGTAGTTGTGTGATGATGGTGCACTATGGTTTACGGGTGCCATCACAAAAAACATCTAGTGCTGTAGTGCAAGAGTCTAACCAGTGGGACGCAGTGTGGACGCAGCGTTGCGTGTGTTCTGAACATCACCCCGCCTTCTGCCAAGGCCATCTCCATCCGAGCCTGTCGAGGCAAGCCAATCCGCAGTACAGAAGAAGAAGCGAGTCTAGAGTCTAGAGTATCTGCTAAAAAGAATGACCCGCCAACAGAGCCACAGTGGACGCCAGGGAACACCTACCAAAATGCACATTTGGGCTTGTTCAAACAGTGTTTGATTTCATTTAGGGAAACCGGCGTGGTTGGTACGCCCTGGAAGAGACCCACATGGAACCTGACAACCACGTCGGGTTGTAGAGGAAAACAACTCTTCCAGTCAGGAAGAAGAAGGGGGAACCCGGGTGTTCCGAGGGAAAAACAACTGGTAGTAGGTGGTAGTAGGTGTTCCCGGGTAGTCCTACTATTACCTGATTCTTTTCTGGGTACTACTTCTTCCCTCCGTTTCTGAGTTCCGTCAGGAACGGAGGTTCCAACATGTTCCAACCTCCTCACGGCAGACGGGCTCTGCGGAGACTGAAGCCTTGGACCACTCTCCATGGCCCAAGAGTTCAGCTCCTCTGCCATCAAAAGGCACCGGTTGTCAGCAAGGACCATAGTATCGCCTTTGTTTTTACTTTTTTCTGATAGGCCAATTGGTATCTATATGTGGTCTTGCTGCAATCCCTTGCAAAAACAGTGGAATGTACGAGGTTCGTACACTGTCTGTACATCATTGGGGGCCATTTGGTGGCAAGAAAGGTGGTGCCTGTGTTCAAAACAGTTGGTGTGTTTGCCACACCGCTATGGCCTTTCGCGGTCAATGTGAACTTTTCGGTGGCAACCCGAGGTTCACATAATGTTTTCCAGGGACCTTCGGCGCGAATGTCAAGCTTCTAACCTACAGCCTTCGTGTATGTACAGTAATTCCACATCATATATTACTTAACATAAATATGTTATAACAATATACACAAATATATTTGCAAGCAAGCTGACTCAGTTCTTGTGAAAAAGAAGCAGCCGGTGCTTCGGTCCAAAGCCTCCCAAGAACGTCTCCCCGCTTGTCTCCTGCTCGCCCGAAACACGGACGAGCGGCGGACAGGATCGGGTCGTAGCTTGCGGCATCGGGCTGTAGATGCTCGTCCTTGCACTGCCTTGAGGAGCGCGCACAGAAGTCACTGAGAGCAGTGGAACATTGTTTCCAAATGTTTCCAGGCGACTTGTGTGATGCATTTGGAGACAAACATCTACGGTCTTCTGCTTGGTGGTTTCAACTTGAACAAACATATGTGTCGGTGGGTTCAATTATCCCAAGGAAAAATGAAACATAAAAACCTTCCCTCACACCCAATGGCTCGGAGGGCCTTGTCATCTGAAACAAACACATTCAACATCAACAAACACTCTCCATAGTATGGGTGGGGGTTTATGCATCAACCGTCACGATTTGTGGTCGCAAACAATGTGAGTTCTCAAGGAAGTTGCGCATCTTCACCCTATCACCACCCCCCTCTCCCGTCGGTTTGACCCGACCCTCTGACAGTTCCGGCAAAAGCTCGGACGTAGTGCATCGGCCAAAGGGCTCCAGGAGTACTGCAGCCTTCAGCCACTGAAGCCCCACACATAAAACGTGGATCGTACCTGGGTAGCTCTGGTGGCTCGGAGTGGCCCTCCGTTTCTTCCGATCGACGTTTCTGGCCGTGCGAAGGGGAGAAGCGGCCGTGATGTGGAGAGATGTGGAGATCTCAAATGCTGTTAGAGTCTTAGAGAGCGTGTAATGTTGCACATCTTCTTGTTCAAGCTGGACGTTTTGAGGGGTCTGAGACGAACTGAAGCAGTCGGTGGCCACTCAGTTTGATATTGTTTGATCACTTCAAAGCAGCTGAAGAATCGATCCACTGCCTTTCCCTTCAGCGATCCATGGTGGAGACAAGTGCCCTACCAAAAGCCTCCTAAGAAACCCTGCGCCTTCATTTGAGACGAACCTGTTTCCACAGTGTCCTTGGTGGAGTTCAACCCTGAACCGATTGTGATCGAGGTGATGTGCTGTGAGCATGGAATGGAAGTCTATCCTTATTAGACAGATTTAACATGGACTGTCAAAGGACACGAAATTGGGATGAACTAGGGATTCTACTCATCCTGGTTGGACATCATTTACTCTCTCTCTCTCTCTTTCTCTCCCTCTCTCTCTCTCTACCTATCTTTCTCTCTTCAAGAACAGCTTTCTGACACTTCTCCGACTGCTAGCATCCACCCATTTTCGCAACGGTTTTCTAGAGAAGCATGCCCGGTCAAGTCAAATCACTTGGACGAGTTGTCCCCCCGCCGGTGGCCTCTGCCAATCGGCGCGCGGAAATCTGAACCCGGGCACTTCACTTAAGATTCCGAGCTTTTCTCAAATTCGATCACTTTTACAAACTCTTGGTCATTTTGTGACCTTTTCTGTATGAACATCCGTCCAAATGCTTCTTTAGAAAACTCTTTATGGCTAGAATTCTGTGAACTGGCTAAACAGCGTGGGCTGATCTGGCCTTTTTCTGGTCAGGTCAATACACAAGCCGCGCCCCCCGAACTAACGCAGGAAGGGTGCTGTTGAAGCTCAGCAGATTTGGTCGATTCGATGCCCTTGGCGACCGCCACAAATCGGTGGTGTTAAGTCAGCTTGGAAAGAACGGTATCATCTCAGGTTGAAAGCGGTGGTGTTCGCGGTGTTGCCATCCCACAGTTAGGAGCTGCCTGACGAAATCACTTATGGATATCCTTGTTTTTCACTTGCATCACACTGAGAATATCTGCGCATCACACTGAGAATATCTGCGCATTTTTTCTCTGAGGGTGTCGTAAGAGGCTTTACCTATGTTTCGAAACTCTCATGCTGCAAACTTTGCGGAGGGAACCAGCACATTGCATGATAACTCCGGACCAGTGACTTGTGGCTTGCTTGGTGACTTCGTACAGCCTCGTGACCAGCAAATGGAGAACATGCAGGAACCATACGTCTTCTAATTAAAAAATATCTGTCATGGCCGGCACCGCAATTCCCAGAAATTTGGAACGCACGATGGACAACATGTTCAATCCCTTTGTTCAATCCCTCAGTAACATTGGATGACTTGAGGAACCCAGGTTAAATCCAAGGTCGAAACTATATAAGTCACAGGGATCTAGTTAAACATTGAAGTCTGGCTTCGGGGCAAAAAAAAGACTTACAACTTATCCAAGGATCAATGATTTTGCCTATTTACTGTGGGACACCATTCATGAGACGCCCTGAATGACAGTGGAACAACAAAACATCAGCAAAATTCATCTTAAGGTGGGGCTCAACCACATGGACAATAGCAAGGAAGGACTCAATCAACCACAATATTGGCACAAGTAAATAACCACCCAGTGCTTGCAGAGCTACCCCTTGTACAGTATGTTTGAACCTGACATACATAACGTTTCAATGTTGCCCCTTCCTTTCATCTCAACTCCCATGCTGCCAGGGATCTGCTGTAAATCGACAAAGAGGGATAAGGCCTTTCAGGAAGATCATAAACAACGTTTTAGATGAAGGGGGCCATGGATCAAGAAAACACCTCTGAGGAAGCACTCTGAAATCATCTAACAAACCTGGTGTTGAATGAGAAACATGCAAGACATGCATTGCAGGCCACAGGTGGGTAGTCGACGCGAGTACGAACTGGAGCCAAGTCCGAGCATTTGGGTCAGGCTCGATGCTGTTGATTTTTGATATGCAACACTTGCAGAATCAAGTGAACACCAATTTGGTCTCGATCATTCAAATGGCAATGGAAAACACATATGCACATACACTTCTTCCAGACCTCAGAATTGTATTTGGGGCTAGAATAAAGGACCATTCCTCCCGAGTGATTTTTTCCACTTTCTTTGTGTTGACCGCAAACTATTGATGTCCTTGTCATGTCTTTGGTTCCGTATGGCTCCTTACTGTATTGCTTCAGGTTCTTTCGTTATATTGTCCACAACACGTGGTCGTGGGGAATTGGAGCTGGTCCATTCAATCATGTAGTCCAAAGGCACCCTGGAATTGATCTACAGTACTGTACTGTATATGAATTGATTAAAGGTTGGAAGTTGGGATAATAGGAAACGTTCGCGTTGTAATAAAACGCACCACTGAACGAATCACAGAACGTACTATTTCTTTGGTTTCCTGAAATGCCTTCTAGACTTTTACCGTTTGAAAACGGGATAAATTCAAAAGGAACATAGACACTACAAGAATATATGCCCCTCAACAGGAAATCCATGGAATTCCTTTCCATGTCCATGTGGTTTCCCAACGACAAACCCTAATTTCTACCGCTAGACTCCCCTTAATAGGTTTGCCAGTTGATAAAGTCACATCGACATTGCTTACTGACCAGGTCTGTACTCACAGTCGTGTTGTAGCCGTGTTTGTTCGTGTCGAGGCAACAGTCTGCCACGCTGCCCGAAACAGACCGGGAAGACCTGCAATTCTATAGCGCCACAACTGGGAACCACACGAGAACTGCCACATTGCGTGACTAAAAACAAAACACACACACACATTTCCTGCAACGCCCAGGACTATTCGTCCTGATGTCAAAAACATGGCACAATATATTCGGCTCTCAAAAAACGGTTCTTACTTGGACGATTCGCTTTTTTCGCCTCCATGAACCAAGTGCCACGTCCTGTCTTTTCCAGCAAACCTTTCCAGTGCCACGGCCTGCGGCCAATCCTCCAGACACGCGCCGATGGCGGCGTTGTAGGTGTCCGTCTCAGGCCTCGAGAGGTCGGACGCCGTGGGCGTCGTTAGGTCGTCACAGGTCAGAGACGGTCGGCTGGCCAGGTCATGGCGGTCATGTCGGTGGAACAAAGGAATTGAGACTTGTAGTTTTCTTGTTTCTGGGGCACAGCATCTCAACCTGGCGTGGTTTTGAAGGTCCAGATCTTCACTTTAAATGTACACACATGTAAATGGCCTCCAGTCGGATCATTTCACCAGTGAAGATTTACTTTGTGACATTTTCTGACGAAAATCCGCGGCAACCGCAGCCAGCTATGCGAAACCTGATGTGTAGCAACTGCCTGTACAAATGATAGTTTTAAACATGGGCCGTGTAACTTGTAAGTATTCTTCTTGGGCCATGTCCAAGGCCACGTCCAGTTCCGCAAAATCCCTACCATCTTGGGGGGGGTGGGGGTGGGGGGTCAAATCACAACATCCCAGTTTCATTTTTAGACTCCCCTGAATCCTGCGGAAACACCCCAGACAGTATTGCGTCACCCGCTTTTTGACGCGCTTGAGCAACGGCTCGCTGTCTCAGCTGCGCGCTTCCAAGGAAGAGGCCCGCCTGCAATATGAGAAAAGGCAGTGGCGATCATCGACTTTTTTGGCATGTGTGCGAGTGTGTGTCAAACCCTGTCGCTATAAGGGCTCTTAAGTTTTTCTTTCATGATGGCTATTTCATCAGCACAATGACAATTGACTCAATGTGCAGGGAATGGGGGGGTCTTATGATGATTCCATCATCCTGGCCGCCAGTGAACTGGCCGCCAAGACGTGACAGTTGCTTAAATTTGCAGGGGATGGGGGGGGTCATATTCCATCATCCTGGCCGCCAGTGAACTGGCCGCCAAGACGTGACAGTTGATTAAATTTGCAGGGGATGGGGGGGTCATATTCCATCATCCTGGCCGCCAGTGAACTGGCCGCCAAGACGTGACAGTTGATTAAATTTGCACAGAATGGGGGGGTCATATGATGTTCCATCATCCTGGCCGCCAATGAACTGGCCGCCAAGACGTGACAGTTGCTTAAATTTGCAGGGGATGGGGGGGGTCATATTCCATCATCCTGGCCGCCAGTGAACTGGCCGCCAAGACCAAGACGTGACAGTTGATTAAATTTGCAGGGGATGGGGGGTCATATGATGTTCCATCATCCTGGCCGCCAGTGAACTGGCCGCCAAAACGCGACGGTTGTCTATTTGCGTCTGTGGCCCATTTCGTGTTTGCCTATCCTGGCTGCCAGTGAGTGGGCGCTGCTTGTGTGTCGTCCACTTGTCACGTGGGCTCATCCTGGCCGCCAGCGAGCTGGCCACCAGGATCATTTGGCTCTTCTTGGCCTGTGTGAGTTCTCAAAGTTTGCTGTGCTTGATGCATCTTGAAGGAAGCAGCGCCCCGCTCATGCAAACATATCCAGATGGACAGGGCACCAAACCGAGCGCCCACAAAACACCGGAGAAGCAACACTGAGATGCAATGAAAACCTGAAGCCCTTTACGATTCTGTGAAGATCTGAGAAGCATCGGCGCTGGTCTTTTTTCACGCGACGCTGCATCGTGACTTGGTCAAGGTTGGCCAGGTTGGGGCAATGCATGAAACCAGCTCTATCTGCTTGGGTCATCCCACAAAAAATACGTCGGCCTCATCCACCTGTTAAAAAAGGCTCCCAACCGCCCCACAAATACAAAAGCGAAGTGATCCACAAAATCGAGCCAAGCAAGCCAGGCTGCTGACCAATGTCAATCAACTGAGTTCGGCTTGTGAATCTCCCGTCCCTGTAACGAAGGCCTCACGGCATCGGGTACGTCACAGTTCGTCAAGCGTGCTTCGTTGAGAGCGGACAGTCAGCTGAATTCGGCGGTTCGAGCGAAACGGCCAGAAGATGGACTTGGCTTGGAGCAAAGGCCATACAGGTATCCCTGTTTGAAGGCATAGTGTGGGTTGTTGAAATGAAGAATAGAATTCAATCCTCACCCCAATTCTGACCAGAAGTTGAAAAGTGAATCCCCTGAGTGGACACCTAGATATTGGAAGCTATACGTCTACTTACTGGGACACTATATAAGCATAAATTGGGTAATAATAATATATACATATACCAGCAAGTCTAATAACACACATTGTAAATGTATTAGGTATGTATATTTATTCTTGCAAATCCAAGGTAGAGGCCATCCAACGAGGCACGGTCGCATTGGCGAACAGTTGCGCCTTGGAGCTCACAACAAGTGGAATCGCCTCCACCCACGTGTTGCGCGACACAGGTCGTTGCGGTTGAGCGCAAAGGGAGCCAAATCTGGAGTCATGGAAACATATGGAAACCATTGGAACCCACCCCCCAGCATCACAACAGGGACATATTCCAATCATTGAACCAATGGAATCAATGAATGAACAACTGTGTCAATCAACTCATCCTAATCATCCTACACCTCGAAGAGTCGGAATGTACTGAACATCGGATCGGAGTGTTCCATCGAAGCGCGTGAGAAGGCATGGCCCCAAGAGCTTCTGCCCCACCTGATGCTCCATAGAAGGGCCGGCAAGTGCACACCAAAGCCCGTGAGACTTCAGCGCTAGCATCCCATCTTGCAACGTTTGAGCCAAGGCATCATGGGACAGTTCAACTGACCCTACATGGCTTGGTGAGGCAAACTGGCCAGCCTCGATCATTGGAATACAATATGTCTCACTTGATCTAGCTCAACTGACAAGCCCCTGAGTCACGTTTGGTCAAAACATTAATGAATCCCTCAACCTGTTATTACTAAGCGGCCCCCATGTTAAAACACACCGATATATATATATATATATATTTGAGAAGGTCTCTCTGTGCCCTTTACATGCTTATGTCATCTTACGTCATTGTGCGCCACCCCTATAGGCAGAAAACCAAAAATGCATGGATGCATTTTACCTAGGTCCCTCCCTGCGTGCATTTTCCTAGGACGGGGGATGAAAACACATTATCACAGTTCACAAATGTGTATCTCATGCTCCTTGAGCTGAGCCTACTGATCTAGGTATCTGGACAATCATATGATACTCATTTCTTTCAATTACCTGGTATGTTTATATCTTTCAATGATGTTCAGATGCATGCTGATTCTGTTCTAAGCCACAAAAAAAAGAAACCGGAAAATGAAATTTCAAGGGTCTCCCCCCCCCTCTAATTTCATTTTTAAGGGGGTAGGGATTCCGCAAATAAATGTCGTCTGTTTTTTCATACCATTCATTGGTCGTGGGTCACGCCCAAACACAAACAGAATCCTCTACGGGGCCTCCTTGGGTCGGGTTTTCGGTCAAACAGGTTGCCACCCGTAGCCCCATAGCCAATTGTAATCTTTATCTTCAACCCTTGAGTGGCACTAGGACAGGCATCACAGTGCAACCTGAGGAACTTGAGGCGCCTGTGGAGCCGCCTACACCTTCACCTCGTATTGTAAAAACGATTAAAATAGCAACATATTGTGCAATATTGTGCATATTCAATGACTTGGCAGCCTCGCAAAGCCTTGGACCTGTCTCCACCTCGCTAACCAATTGAAACCAAACTGGTCCCTCCGGAAGCTTCAGGACGCTGCTGGGGTAGCTTGGAAACAGCCGACACATGACGGAAATGACGCAACAGCCGACCCCTACGAAACGACGTGGTCGCTCACAGCGAGCGACCGGTCCATCTCCTTCATCAGCATCAATGCCAACATCGGCTCCTGAGCTCGCACGTGGGAGATTGACCAAAGCTTGAAAGCAACCTGAAATCGTGTCCAGTCGAAACCTGGGGAGGTTGACATACCTTGTATCTTTGAGTGTTCTGGCGGCAGGTCGGATTGCTGGAGCTATGGGAACAAAAATATGGCTGAGCAAAGTTCTTGATTCACCTTCTGGAAAACACCACGACCGACTCAAGTCACGTCGCAAGTCTGTAAGCAGTGCTCAATTTTTGGCAATGGTGAATTCTGCACCTTTTTCTGGGTATCGGCCTCCCTGATTGAAACAACATGCACAAATGTTTGCCAAGAAACTCAACAATTTGGTCACAATTCGAAAAGGTTCCCAATCCTAAATATCAGGAGTGTGACTTGAGACCCTTTTGCAACAGGCCCTGTTAACCTGCCTAAAATTTTAGATGTCAACTCTAAGTACCACTCTAAAATGCATGTTAGATGAAAAGTGTCTGTGGTCTCATTCTGCTTGGGGAGAGTCTCTGGAAGATGTCCTGGAGAGCTCTCCACAAGCAGATTGAGAGTGTGGGAGATGTCCCATACAGCTATCCCTGAGCAGAATGAGACCGTGGGAGATGTCTCAGAGAGCTCCCCTCAAGCAGAACGAGACTGTGGAAGATGTCACAAACAGCTCTCCCAAAGCAGAATGAGAGCACAGACCAATTTTAGAGTAGCACTCTAAACTATTCTTAACCGTCTATGAAAATGCTCACTGATTGGCATCGTCATGAGTCTCTATGAGATGCCCCTCGTGGTATATCCCTTTCCGACAAACCCTGAGGCCCTCTACTCACACACACACACAAATTGTTTTAGATGAAAGGGGTCTGTGGAAAAGGGGTCTACCTTGACGTCCCTGAAAATATTGAATATTTCAAAGCTTGTGTATATGTCTAGAACTTCCCGAACTTCCCATGTAGTAGAAAGACGGCCTATTGCATACATGAATCAAAACCCCCTTTGTTTGTGCCCATGCACACCGGAGTTTCCATCATCTGCACATATGGTGGAATTACGGCGGTCTTCGACAATCTAGGGAATCGGGGGCGTCGAAGGGTTTTCGCACGCACACCGATTGAAAGACGGTCAAAGCCGATTCGAATGACTCTCGGACCAGACCTTAAGGGATCGGTCTACACCGACGACATGGGAAGAACTCAAAGGTCGCGACCGAAAAATGAGAGAAATCCCCTTGCCCATGGGCTTTCACGGTGTTTCACGATGCATATCGCTATGTCATGAACACGGTTTAGTTTCGGTTCCTTCTGTGCTTCTTCCAGGTCCAGCATCGACGCGAGGCTGCTCCGAGCGTCACTCCCCCGCCCACAGGCGCTGATGGCAGCGTTGCACAGGATCCTCGGCTGCGAGTAATTCAAGAGCCAAAAGCACCTGATCTCTTTGCTTGGTTGAAACCTGTGCTACAGTAGCACACAACTCCGACTTGACAACACATCAGAGTCGACATTTGAGAGGTGTCAAAAACCATCCGGAACTTTTATTAAGATTATACAAACCTTTCGCCAATCCCTTCGCAACGCTTTGGCGGCTGCATGTTTTGCTTTCGCCGACCCACTTCACCCAACAACCTCTTTCGCTAACCCTTTCGCCGAGTTTATGTTACTTACATCTAAGAAAAGTATCAGCAAAGGGGAATCATTCCTAATCTGCAACCACTGCTTTCGCCACATCTGCGCGAACCTTTCACCAACCTTTCGCCTGGTTATCAAGAAAATTTGGATGACATGCCTTGTACTGAAAACATCTGAACACCTCTTCCGCCAACCCTTTCGCAACAAAACTAAATCGCCCTCGCCCTCCCTTGTCATTTGCATATCTGAGAAATCGTTCCAAAAGCCTTGTCCGAGCTCCGAGTCAAATCCAATGTTGGCTTCAAGGTTTGATTGCCTAGTAACAAGTGCATCGCTACCAGTAACAAGTGCCTTACTAGTAGTAACAAGAAGCTATTAGGAACAAGTGCCTTACTAGTAGTCACCCAAGTCGGTCGTTTGCCAAGTTGGAGCCACCGGAGTTGCCGTCGCAACCGTCGATGCTGCGACCGTGGGTCGAATTGGTCTCCAGAAGGCTCGTCTGGGCGCAGCGTAAGAGTTGGAGTGCCTCCAAAGGCAAGGCGACGTGCTGCGAGTTGGCGCTGTGAAGTGACCCGCGCCGCGGTGTTTTTCGGGCGCCTTTTGGAAGGTCTGGGTCAAGGGTTGAACCCAACACACGAACAGCTGCTTTTGGAACCCCAAATCATCAGGACTAACCTAAAGTAGTGACCCTGTACATGCCATAGCATGCACACACTCACTAAATCAAGGTTTTGTGTGTTTATTGGGGGTAAGAGACTGAGATTACTCGTGACATAGACTGCTTTGAAAGCAAAGTCTAGTGCTGGTTTATCAGGACTGGCATACCAACAAAGGTTTTATGAGGCTCCAAGCTTTGTGACAGTGCATTGGAAGCACGGATACTGGACTTTCGCTCCAGCAAAGCCCATGTGTCTTGGTCTTTGTGCAGGATATAATAGATCCGAGCAAAGCATAGCAAAACACCAATCACAATAATCACAACCAGGTGAAAATGAGAGCTCCCCGACCGTGTTCCTGGTCCACACAGGTTAAACTCAACCAAAATATCAGCCGATCCTGATTCTTCCCACAAGGCCCGGGTAGGAAGTGAACGTAGATCGAAGCACAGGGTGCTCGGATCCGTCGTCCAGGGTGCATGGTCAAGGGCGACATCGGGCGTTGGAGAGATCCGGAAGGATCACCATGCTCCAGCCCCTATCCACCAATCCCATAGCCTCGGGCCATACAGCTGCCTTCTCACACGCACTCACCTCAGCCGGAGGATCCAGCCAAACAACTCCTTGCAGAAAACCTCGTCGACGAACTCCACCTGGATTTCAGTGAAAATGACCCCATAACGACCCTCAAAGTTGGGCAGGTGATCCACATACTTCGGTAGGCCGTTGGGTCCACGTCTTGGCCAGGTCTGGAATCCCAAAACCTGCCATGGATGTGGGACATGCCACGACGTGCCTGCCGGGTGCTTTAAGCGGCCTTCGACACTGTGCCCCGGAGATCTTGGAGGTGCATGTCAGCATGTGTGTTTGTTACTATATTATGCTATATTATGTTATTTGTGTTTTAAACTTTTGTTTTTCCCATCTAAGTTTCCAGAACTCAGCAGGAAAATAGGAGTGAACATCTTCAGACTATATAGGAGTGCATAGGTGACATGAACATCTCAACTTATCATCAAACATGTCTTCAAATGCAGGCTCCATCCGTCGGCGGACGAGGTCGTGTTGTTGCGCCCCAACAAGACGAATCAGCAAGGGCAACAAAAACAAGACTATATATAGTATAGTATAGTGCTCATGAATAATATGTACGGATCATTTCCCTGTTCCCTAGTAGTCAGGTTGTGAATACTTTTTGATGACTAGATGGAGAAATCTCCACATGGAAGGGACATGGTGCGCTCAAGTTGATCGAATCCTGTCAGGTGTAACTGTCGAAGCACCCGGAGATCGCCTAGTGACACAGGCGGCGAAGGAGATGACATCTCGCTGCAGGTGCCTCGAACGCTCTGCGACTCGCTGAAGTCATGTTGACTGATCTTTCACCCCCTCTGCAACAAAAAGAGAGGGATCTACCGGTGATCTTCATATATCTTAGGTCTCTTCTTTGCGTTTCTGATCATTTCCATGCGGGTGTAAACATCTTTGTTTCCACCTTGATCCCCCAGCGGAGCGAACAAGGGAGAGCGATTGTACATTGAAGGTTCAATTATTTCGTCAGGAAGAATTAATGTGTTTGGATCATTTTGTGTCTCCGACTCCGAGTGCAAAAAAAAGCGAGGTAACTTGTTGTTTCCATTGTTTTTACATATTGTTCTGGTTCCATTTTATGTTACTTGTTGTAACCACATTGGACCGGTTCATAAACCGCAAAGAGGCCGAAACATTCCATGCCACTTCCATTGGTGCACCCAGTGATGGCCAAAGGGCGTCACCAGACATGAGAAAGCCACCCCAACGTACACCGGCGAGTAAGGTTACGTCATCTTTTTCAACTCACAGTCATGTGATGTCATGTGTACCTTTCGTCCAACCGCTAATTGACATACCACAACTGTCCACAAGTTGGTTTCTACCACATTTTCCCTACTCCTTGCACATGGGATCCAATTGGTCAATATAAGGACTCGTCTTGGGCACTGCTACGCAGCTGTTGGCCGCATCCCGTCGATCTCGCCTGGCGACGGCCTCCTGCATGAGCAGCAAAGCCACTTCCCAGTAAGAAGACTTCTCACCTGAACACCGGTGCCAGGACGGCGCCAGCTGTTGTGACGGCGCGCGCCAGCCGGTGTTCACAGCTGGCCGGTGCGCTGTCGGTTTCCACCTTCCGGTCCCCACAGGACGCACGCCACAGGCACGCCAGTGACCAGTTCTTGGTGTTTTGGAAAGCCTAGGCAGCCAATTCGAAAACCACCCGGCACTGGTCACTGGCGCTGTTTTTGGACGGCAGCGGCAAGGCAAGGACTTCAGGTTTGGACGTTCCACAGGGGGGGTTTGACTCACTCCCTCTGTATAAAAAAATTCACCTTGAGTGAAGGGGGAAATACAAAATCTTGGCAAGGTTGGGAAAACAGTTGCGTGATCTACACGATAAGGGAATCAAACGAACACCCTAAAGCTACGAAGATTACTGTACATCGATTGAGTGTTGGTGTAGTTTCGAGAAGGTTTTCTGAATCACCAAGTGCATGTAAACATCACAAGGCTTGGTGGGATGACAAAACAATAGTACAAAACAATAATCCACAGTAGTTGTCTCCACTACCAACAATCTTTCCATTTTCGGTCTTTCCAGGCGAGTTTCGCTCACGGCTGAGCCTTTTCAATGCAGCCAGCATCGCAACCCGGCATCTGTGCTACGTTCCAATACATCTGTGCCACGTTTCAGTATGCGAACACGACAACGCCACAACAACGACAACGAACGAAAGCCTGTTCGGGGTCGGAAGTTCGGGGGCTTCTCGTCACCTCCACATTCGTGCGCTCCGAAAAAGCACGCGGAGGGATCGAAGGCGACGAGGGAACACGGTGGTATGGCAGGCGTCAGAGCTGGCGAAACGGCGAGTGGTGTGTCAGAAGGCGTTGGGAGCCTTCAAGCGTTCGAATGAGTTGGATGAGGAGAGGCAGTTGGCTGGGGCTATCTGGCGGCTGACCCTTAAGGCTGAACTGCTAATATACGCGAGTCTTGGTTCGTTGCAGGGGCGAGACATGTACTCCCGGAAGGAGTGATTGTGAAGCTCGAAACAAGCTACTTGGGAATGCATGTGGCGCATCAGGCTCAGGAAAGAGTGTCATGACCAGGAGCGGCTCATCATTTCGTCAGGTTCCCATCAAACATTGCTTCGTTGGATCAGCGGCTCCTCACACGAAGGGCCTTGGAACTTTGGGTCCGGCATACAGGAGATAGCTGTCTCCGGGATCTAATAAGAGCAGATGTGCAATGGTTGAAAAGAACATGAATGTTGAATATGCCAGTTGACATGTGCCAGAGCCCCAAAGAGAAGGAGGGTGGGGGAAGGCCACTGTCTTCGATGTGATGTCCGAAGCCGACCGTGATGCGCTTCGGAAGGATTTGGGACTTGGGATGATTTCCTCTGACTCTATAATTATAGTGTTCCCCAAATAGATTAGATTGAAACAGTTTCCAAATACATTTTTGGTGGGGATCTACTTTTCTATCTGGGGGTATATAATCAGGTGTAATATATAATGGAACAATACTTTATAATATGGAGGCCAAAATGATCTTCGGCCTTCACCGTTCATGTTAGCTTTTCTTTCCGGTCCAGCCAAATGTGCTGGATCCTTGATTGAATTGTTCGAGGGATGGATTGGCAAAGAAACCGATCTCCCACATTTCCCCAAGGTGACAGAGGTCGCAGCCGCACTGTTTACATGGAGCATTGACAATTGGCGCTTTTGGGATGGCAGGAGACAGTGGTGGAAGGAAGTCATGTTTCTTAAGCAGTTTCAAGGTTCGAGCCTGATTGATACATCTTCATCTAGGTTGCTTATTGCACCCATAAAGGGTCCGGCCATTCTTTCTGGATCAACTTGAGGGGATGGCCTATCTGAACCAGCGCAACTGATGCTGTCTGATCTGAACCAGTTCAGATCGTTTCGGTTTCAGCGTGTCGAACGGCTCGAACGGTGCGAACGGGTCGCCGGGACGTGGCAACGACGTGGATGTTGCGCAGGATCTGCGGGGGTGATGCGTGTTCTATATGAGCGGCCTCTAATTCTGCCTTTTAAAAGCCTCAGACCCCACTCCAAGTTGACGAAATGTGCTAAACACAGACAAGTCCAAACATGTTATTAAAACAAAACAACTGTAGAAATGTGCGCCGCCTGCCCAAGTGATGAACCGGTTCTGGGCAGTCAAGACCAAGATGTGGTGGGAGACGCGGCAGAAGAGTTGCTCAGCAGGTGCAAACAATACATCCACACACACATCCACATCATATCATGCGCTTTTGTGAATCCCACCATCTTCATCATCCCTGCATACTGACCCATTGCCACTAGCGATTCCATATGATTCCTCTACTTTGTCACAGCAAAAAACAACAACTTTGCTCGCCGCGAGCAGAACGGGGCCTTCCATCGTTTCCAAGTCACAGGCGCTCATGGTCGCGTTGTAGTGAATCATGTTAGGCTCCTCCGCACCAGAAGGACGCTGCGGGCATGACAGCCCAAAAGATCTGTTGGGGACAAAGAGCAGAACAACATGTCTGAGCATGTCTGAGCAGTTGATTTGTTTGCCTATTTGGGAATATTTGGGCCATGTGCCCCTCTTTGCGGATAGCATACATTTGCAAACGCTCACGAACACATGTACCGGGTCCACAAAGGTTCGTTAAGGAATAGCAAGAAGAAATCTCTCTTTCAGGTGTTGGATGTGTTTCATGCGTTTCCTCCGGGATGTGTCTAGGGATTCTCCAACTACACCCTGGCAATACACCCTGCAATCTCCCTAATTAGCATTATCTCGCACTAATTCGCTCTCACATTGTGGAAGCTTCCTCTATATAGAGCATATTAAATAAATAGACTTAAGACTTGCGACGACAGGCAACCACTGGAAATGAAGATCTTTTTTGTAAGGTCCTGAGTAAGGAAGTCAGCAAGAAAATAGTGAACATAGGTTGGGGTGTTCGTGCAACATGTGGAAAAAACAATCAACAAGTGATTGCGGAGACATAAGAAAGCAAAACATTGACAGGAAAGTAGTGAGCAAATAGCAAGAACATAGTGAGAAAATAGTGAGCATACTGACTGACATATTGTGAAACGCCTCCCGAAACGACACGTGACGTTTATATATTAGGTTTCGATTCTTGTTTTTTGATCACATTTTGGTCACCTTTTCTTGCGTTCTTCTTGCTTTTGGTATCCAAATAGTTCAATCACATCACCTTTGGATCGCTTTCTGCTCACCTTTCCGCTCACTGTTCTTTTTTGACTTGTCCCCTATCCTGCACTCTGAGATTGTTTTTCGTTTGCTCCAACTCCTACTCCAAAATCACCAAAAATTGGGCCCTGCCCCCCCAGTAACAGTCGTAAAGGGTCAGGGCCCTTAAACCATACCCCCAAAACCCACAATCATATTCAAAGTCATTTAGGGAGATTGGATTGCAATTTCTGGTCTAGGAAATGCAAAAGATTGGATCAGTGGGCGGGTTCTGGTCTAGGAAATGCAAAATGATTGGTTCAGTGGGTGGGCTAACTCTAAAGAACACAAATCTGAACATATTTGCAAACCAAAAACAACAACTCCCGGCTTTCCACCCCGTTGCTCCCGGCTCCCCACCCCGTCGCTCCCACCCCAAATTTTCTAAAATGTGTCCAAATTAATGTGCTCTATTGCGATTTTTTGTGGTTTGATTTGTGGTCTCTTCCGTCCTGGACCACAAATCAGACCACAAAAAACAAAAACACAAGTCATACCACCAAAAAAGCACCAAAAAACAAGTCATTCCACAAGAAAAAGCCCAAAAAACGCAAGTCATACCACAAAAACACACACACAAAACCACAAGTCATACCACAAAAAAACACAAGAAACACAAGTCATACCACAAAAAACACCAAAAACACAAGTCATACCACAAACAACACAACGAAAAAACCCACAAGTCAGACCACAAAAAAACCACAAACGCGACCACAAATCATACCACAAAAGTCACAAAACCAATGCACATGGCCTTGTCTCCTGCCACTCACCTTTGATTCTATATTCAAAAAACCAAAACTCATACCACCAAAAAAACACAAGTCATACCACAAAAAACACAAGTCATACCACAAAAAACACAAGTCATACCACAAAAAACAAAAACACACAAGTCATACCACAAAAACAACCACAAGTCATACCACAAAAAACAAAACACACGTCATACCACAAAAAAACACAAGTCATACAATAAAAAGCCACGAGTCATACCACAAAAACACCAAAAACACAAGTTATACCACAAAAAAAAGCACACATAAACACAAAGTTGTGGTCAGTTTTGTGGTCAGTTTTGTGTTGTTTTTTGTGTTGTGTTTTTTTTTTTGTGGCTGCGTTCATTTTCATTTTCCTTTTATAAAAGCGGGCCCCCAGTTTTCATGTTTTATAAGGCAGGCCCCCCTCCCCTGGGCCTGGAACTCCCGGGGCCGCCCACAGTTCTGGCAGCCAGCCAGGTCCTATTCTAGAGCCAACCTCTTCTACCAGGCCTGCACTATGATGGTTTGGCAGAACTCCCAGACCATTTTGAGTGGATTGAAACTTTCGATCATTTTGCGAGTGGGTGCGCTCAGATGAAAATGGGCACCCGATTCACTTGAGGGGTTTCTGGTACATGACTATTGTAGCCAACGGTAAACAGGCAAATGAAAATCATCCTAATGCAAACTATATGGCTAAACTGCTGTGCTTTTTTTGTGGGATGATTTGTGGTCACTGTTACTGCGCCGGGGCAAAGCCCAAACCAAAAAAAATTATTTTGGCCACCCTCAGCGGTTGGCTGGACTCCATCTCTTAAGATACTGGGTGCTCTGACGCACTGGCCTGCGCCGGATACGTGGACATGAGGGCCTGTCAGAAAAGGTTGAAACAAAAGACTTATCATCTAGATGTCAGAATCACAACCCTGGAAGCTCTAACATCTAGATGATGTGTCTTGAAACTCTGAATGACGTGCGCAATGAAGAGACGGCGCGCCTGAGCACGACCTCGCAGTAGCGCGATCGTGGTCGACACCAACGCGACCTTCAAGGCCCAGCAAAAAGTCTGGAAATGCGAAAGAAAGGAAGCTGGTTCAGAAACCACGGGCCGTAGAAAATAGACCGTTAATATATGTATTTATCTATAAAGAAAAAATATATATAAAGGCCCAGCCAAGCCAACCAACCCAACCAACATCCCACCCATAGAGAACCAACACTTGAGAAGCCAGCTGCAGCCATGAGCAGCTCAGAATCTAGTTCAGAATCCGCCTCTGATTCGTCTTACAGTAGCACCGATGGAGAATCTGGAGAATCAGTTGATGGAGATGAAAACTAGAAGCTGGCAAAAAAGGAAATGAATGTTAGCTGATCAGCTACGGGCAAAGAGTTCATGAGGCAGCGGCAGCGGCAGTGGCCAGCTCTTAGATCATGGGATCTGAGATATGTGGGGGTTGGGAAAAATAGTGAGTGCCTTTGTGCGTGGAGGGTTTGGGAATGGTTGGAGAAGAGTCAAGAACATGCATGGACCCCAAAGGCAACCTTTGGTTCCAGCGTTTGGCTTGCATGTGTCACTCATATATATATATATACTACTATATACAGAGGGTTACACAACATATGGGTGTGTATTGAAATAGGGAGGCCTCCCAGTCCGACCCCTGGAACAACAAAAATAGACCTCACTGGAGCTGCAACTCCTTCCCCGCGAGCTTCGGCCAAGCTCTGATGCTCCGCCTGCACAGTGCCGGCTTGGGCATCCGGGCATCATCTGGCCTCGGCTGCAGACTGCTGTTTGACTCACTCCTTAGATAGAAGAAAATCAAAAGTTGAGTGTTCGAAAACCAAAATTTGAGGAGTACATCAAACACAATGTGGCTTTCGAATACTTATGAAGCGGCGCTCAGCCCAGTAGGAGTGAACCGCGCTGAATTTAACCGCGGTGTGGTCCAATGAAAGTCTGAAATTCAATAGTGACCGGTGGACCTCCCCTACTGTCCACTACCTTTGTCCCCACTCCTTTGCTCCCTCTGACAACCCATGATGGACAGTTTTCTTGTCCAGCCTCTGCCTCTGCCACTTTTTGTGCCAGTACCCGGTCCTTGGCATCACGCAGCTGTGAGCCGTGGGCACCGTGTTTCAGCCAATCCTCCCGTTAGATTCAGCAATCCAGTTCTGTTAACATGTTTTAAGGTTGTGATCCGCCCAAAGCCGCCTAGCGATGCCTAGCAGCAATCCTCACGTGTGTGATTTGGGCAAGAAAGCTTCAATTTCGACACCTAAAAAAGCTGGGTTCGATCACTGTGTAGGTATCGATCTCTCGGAACTTCTTCACGTCCTGCGATCAGAAGGGGCAAGCCCAGCCCACTGACATCAATTGCCCCCAGGCAGTCCGGGCGGGTCTTATATATCTGTCGATTGCATAAACTACTCTTATAGTCCACAAGCAGCCCATTGCATTATACGCATTGTATATATATAATCATCTATGAAGCGGTAGCATCACGCAAGCCAATCTCTCAGGCCGTCACATTTGCAAGCAGGCGATTGGCGACGACCTGAAGCCTCGGCAGAAGTTCATGCAACAAACTTGCCACGATCGTATTATAACTTAACAGTAATACCCACTTTGATTTTGGAAAGGCCTCAGTTGGGATTGGAAGTCCTTGCATACTTTGTGTCCTTAGGATACTGGTTAAGACTTGCGACGACAGGCAACCACTGAAAATGTATATATATATATATATTTGTTTTGTGAGGTCCTGAGTAAGGAAGTCAGCAAGAAAATAGTGAACATAGGTTGGGTGTTCGTGTAACATGTGGAAAAAGCAATCAACAAGTGATTGCGGAAACATAGGAAAGCAAAACATTGACAGGAAAATAGTGAGCAAATAGCAAGAAAATAGTGAGAAAATAGTGAGCATACTGACTGACATATTGTGAAACGCCTCCCGAAACGACACGTGACGTTTATATATTAGGTTTCGATTCGGGATTGCTTTTTGATCACATTTTGGTCACCTTTTTTTTGCGTTCTTCTTGCTTTTGGTACCCAAATATTTCAATCACATCACCTTTGGATCGCTTTCTGCTCACCTTTCCGCTCACTGTTTTTTTGACTTGTCCCCTATCCTGCACTCTGAGATTGCTTTTTGTTTGCTCCAACTCCTACTCCGAAATCACTAAAAATTGGGCCCTGCCCCCCCACAGTAACAGTCGTAAAGGGTCAGGGCCCTTAAACCATACCCCCAAAACCCACAATCATATTCAAAGTCATTTAGGGAGATTGGATTGCAAATCACTAAAAAAAAATATTTTGGCCACCCTCAGCGGTTGGCTGGACTCCATCTCTTAAAGTAGACTCTTGTGAGACTCCAAGGTTCCGTTACCGAAGGCGTTTTCTTCTACCAAAAAGGATATACACCGTGACGACGCGTTGGTCGTAAAGTAGAGGGAAGATCCAAAGGACCCCGAGGCAAAGCGGAGAATGGCCGTGGGGTCTTCTCATGTTTGATTCATACCCCCCTTATATGGTTCTGGTTCAGATCCTTCTTACGGACACTTGTTCCATGTGAGACACCTAAGGAGATTTGGAGGTGTTTCCTCTCTGGTCCCCTACTGGAAGTTCATGCATCCCTGTGAAAACTCCTAGGTCACTGAAGCATGGTCCAAAGCAGTCCCCGTGCCACTAGGGAATCAATTGTTCGCTGGATATTGCTGCTCAAATCCGACATATAGCCGACTTACATGGGCAACCGTATTTTGCGATGATGATGACGATGAGAGAAGAAGACAAAGTCATTCAACATACCAACACATAGACAGCATAGCGATGTGATCATATGAGGCTCACTTGGGTGCCCAATATGCCCAATGATTCTACGGCATCAGAATTTGCGCGGTCTGTTGGCTTATACAAGCTAATTTCTTCACTTGTTCAATGCATGTTCCATTCAATGTAGCCGGTCTGTGGAACCCCTACGTTTCAACATCACACACAAAAAACATATTTTGGGGAATGTGACGGATAGGATCGCTATCATGCTGTCTTTCTTGGGATGCCATCGTGGCCACAGTCCAAGTGCACGATCCATGGCCAGCAAGATGCATCATGCTGGCTATCCTCCGCGACCCATTGTTTAATACTAATCAATGACCACGTCCTGATCAAAGAACAATCATATACCACTATTGATTGAAGTCATCTGCATCATTGACCTGAGCCCCAAATCTAAAAGAAATAACGATGGCATCCTCTACTTCCCGCACCCCAAACCCACTCCAGATCGTTGCAAAGCTCTTCCAGGAACAGCAAGGCCCAGCTCCAGTTCGCCGCCTTTTCCTTGGAGCCAGCGAGCTCCGTCGACCGACTGCCCGGATTTCGTCGGATCTTCGGGACTGAAGAAAGTCCACACCAGTCGAGCCAAAGCCGGTAGGGTCACTGTGTAGATCTGTTGCTGAACACCGGAGACCCGGGAACATATCCAAAACTCTGCGTAAAACTCGAGGTATTGGTGTTCCTTTTTTCACTCTGTCAACCAGTAAGCAAAACCAGTCAGCACCTCGTCCCTGAGTTGCCCTGAGTTGGGGTTTAGGGAACAAAACGGGCAAAGCAGAAGGTCCCCTTTCCATGATCTGTATACTGTATATTACTGACCAAAAGTGCATATACTGCAAACCACATCGACATTTCACACTGGCTCCGCGTAAATATATATATATATATAGATAACATTTCCAATTAGCTCTTGGCTTTGCTACATACATTCAGCAATAGATGTTTGTCCTGCTTCGGGAAAGTAGTAATCAACGATAGAATGATTCCAACTTGGGCTCATCGTAGCACCGCAACTGAAACGTGCTTAACTGAAAATAGACAGCGTGTTGCAAAAGGGAAATTCAATGTACCGTTCAACGTGTCATTTAACACACGCTTGGACTTGTACACATCACTTTGTGAAGCAAATCAATAATGTCTTGTGTTTTGTATGATACCTGAGGTATATTTCATCAGTAACCGTGAATGATGATGATCAGTAAAGGCCTTTCTCGAAACTAACGATAATCTTTTACCTACTGTTACTGGTCATGGGCTACACCCTAATCATGCCTATAGCTGGCTCTATCTATCACTTTGTGAGCCTATTTTTGCTCTATGAGCTTGAAACAAGAACACCAATTTAATGCAAATTAATGCCCAAACTGCTCGTGGCAAGGTACCCTAGCAAAGGGAACCTTTATTTGGATGTCCATCTGGATTGCTTCGGCACAACAGACCAATGATGTCTTTTGGGGAACATTAGAGGGGTTCAGGTCAATCAACCAATAGCATATGCAGCATATGGCCATTCATGCAACAACCCCCACTCGAACCCCAACACGACCATCCAAGCAACGCAAGCGCTGATGGCAGCACCATAGATGATGGCCTTTGAAATCCGAACAAACCGCGGTTCGACGCTGCGCTGCTCCGAGCTGATGCAATGAGGTGCCTTTTTCCAGCTCCAGTGGTCAGGAATCAGGGTGGAGAGCGATGGTGGCCCAGTGGATGATGGTTAGTGCAATAAAGACCTCCCCGCCCCCACCTGGTGATCATTCTTTTGCCAGCTGTTTCTGGTGGGACACATGAATGAGCGGATTCCTAAACCGCCCTCTTGGACTCGAACGGCATCCCGTTTGGATCCCTCGGTTCCCGGAACTCCGAACTCAGTCGTTCGGTTATACGTCATTGCAGTCGTTTGAGCGTGGGATTTTCATCTTCATACAGAAAGAAACACCTGCAAACACCCAGCCTCTGCCCAGGTTTACTGCCTAAAGAAATTGACTTTGCAAACTTCAAATACTTCAATGTCAAGGTCTAAACATGTCTAAACCCTTCTGTTGATGACATTTAGCATCATACCATCCACGTGTCACATGTCTTGTAGCCCCAAAGCACTGCTCCAGGTGGCATCCATCTGGATCCGACTCTGTGCTGCTTGCCACAGCAGTGAAATCGCCTCAATCCACGCCTTGGAGATTGACGAGTAGGACCGAGTAGGAGACCCATCCGATCTTTCTACGTTTTGGAGAGTCAACACATCCTGGTGGTTCCAAGTTCCAAGCAACTCCTTTGTTGAAGTTTAGAAGGAGCACGGAAGTGAACTTGTGAGTCAATGAACCAGGTTGGACGTGATGTGCCATAAGCTGATGGCATAAAACCGGTAAACAACCCTGACCACAGTGCCATCAAAGGGTAGGCAGCTGAGACCAATGTGCAGGCCCTGGAACTGTCAAGAGCCCGTGGTGCACTGTGAAAGTAGAACATAGATGAACATAGAAACATGTCTAGTCAGCTCATGTACTTGCACACAAAGGCTCTACCTAACTGCTGGATTGGTCAGAACTGAAAACTCTGGGTCCAACCTGCTAGAATGCCTCCCTTGTTGTACCATATATCTCAAGGGATCAAGACTCAGCCACCTTTCGAGTCAACCGATCGGGTTTCCCCCAGTGGCTCACATGGTTCTTTGGACCACTTGAACCACCGAAGTGCTGACGAAGCGGAGCGCAACTTGCGACGGCTCCAGCGGTGGAAGAACATCTCTCACCAGTCGTTCCATAGGACAGTGGTCTTCCATGAAGGACTCAACAGGTACTTGAAGTCTTGACCGACTCTCGCTGTGTCGTTTTGGTCCTTCTCAGCTTCAACTGAAAGAAATACAAAGCCTTTCAACTTGGGTGACTTGCGGCAAGATGCATTACTACGACTATGCCTACCAAACCAGCAGAACCAAGACCGAAGCCCCATCGAATGAAGCAGCTTGAAACGTCATGCGGGGTAGAGCATGGTGATTGGGTTATATATATATATATTGGACCGGTTCGATGAAATCATTCCCAATATCATTCCCCATATCTTCTCATCATTCCCATATCTACCTGCCCCCAACTCTGAAGAGTGTCTGCAGACCTCTCGCAAGCACTGATTAAGGCGCTATAGGTGATCACCTGAGTTCCCCCGCTTCGCCACGCCGCTTCTTCGGCCCATCGAAAAAAAACAAAACGACGGAGGCGGGTCTCCGGACCCTGCTTCGAGGTCGTCCTCGTCTAAAACACACATGGCTTCTGCTTAGTGGGGCCACAAGGTCGTCCTCGTGAAGCAAGAAAGAACAAAGTCCACCAAGTCATCCGACACGACCTCGTGGATGGCATCCCGGTCTTCGACCAACTAAGGAGTTCCTGCCCGTACCAAGCTAAATGCCAATGCGATCATGGGATTTGCTTGGAACGGCTAGGAGATTCAGAACAAACGGGACCTTCTATTGCGGTCACAAGCTATGTCTCGGCCGTGAACCTTCGGATCTGCTTGATCGATACTGAAAGGGAAGGGACTGCTCATCCCCGACTGACGGGACTTCGTTCGAACTGCCAGGCGAACGGTCCACCGGTGTTCCCGACAGTCCGAACACCTTGGGGGATGCAAACAGTCTTGCTGCAAACAACGTGCTGTTGGTGTCCAAGGCAGCTCGCTGAAAGAAGGGAACAAGCAACTGCAGATCAGTGGAAAAAAATGAACATGGAGCAACTGTTCAACTTCATTCAGCTTTAAATAAGAACTTGCCCAAAAGACTGGCATTGGTTGAGGTGGGACATGCCAAAAGTACTCGAGAGGTTGAGTTCTTGCTCAATTTGGACTGTCCTGTCCTACTCCAAACGTGGTGAAGAAGGTTTCCATGCAGCAAAACCATTCCAACATCCCAAAAAGGAATCCTGGATAACACTGACCAGCCCGCCCAGGATCATGCCCTTCTCATCTATGCCATTTGGAATATGGTAGACTCTTTGCTACACGGACCCAAAAGTGACACGAACTGAACTTTGCATTATCCTTCTAGAACCTTTAATGAGGAAACAAAGTGCTGAACCAAAAGGGAAGGGCAAGGGCAACATTGAACCATAAGGACTTGGGCGTGGAAATGGGGGTCATTTCATCAAGATCCTGTTCCGGTGTGTTCTGGCTTTGGCTCTGCCCGGTGTTTGGTACCTGCCACAACAGCTTAGTATGCTTTGCTCCAACAAGTTGGTATGCCATCGCGTTTGCAGCCTAGTGTGTTCGCTCGCTCCACCTCCAGAGGAGGGTTCACCACCCAACAAAAGGCGACGTTGGTTTTCACGTCGTCTTTGGAAGGCGATCCCGCAGGCACAAGTGGAAAGCAATCTTGCAGACAACAGATCAAAGGGCTGCAGGGAACTATGTGCTGGCCAAGTGAACGAATCTGCTGAAGAAGGGCTGCATCTGTCCTTGACCCAGGGCCTCTTGATACTGCCAGTGTGGGAGTTTGGCCTCCTTTCATTCCAACAGCTTGCTTCTGTTCCCTTCTCTTTGGTGCACTCTCGTGCTGCATGTTTTGGGGTCCAAAGCCGGACAGAACAAGTGCCCAGGCAGCGGAGGACCGGAGGACGAAGAGGAAATCACGGTCTGAGTGGTGACTGGCTACGTCTACGATGATGTTCTCTTGTACCTGAACTCTATAGCCAGTCACTCTGGTGACCAGCGTTTTTCCTAGCCAGCCAGTCCCTTGTTGGAAAAACCTTCTTCTCTGCCCAGTTGCCGTCTTCTCAAGTCTGTAGCGGTCCAAATCTCCATAGACCTGACCAGCTCAAAATGGCACGTCGACCGACTCCCCAGGAGTACACGACCCGAAGTTTCTGGAGTGCGAATGACGTGGTTGGAGGAAGGAGCCCGGAAGGCACCGAGTATATAACTTGCGCCGCTATATGCAAGCTATGTGTGTATATATATATACATGTTGTTGTTGTTGTTGTTCCCATCAGAAACATGCACATGCTCGATGTGATCAGTGCAAGGTAATTAGGGTCTACCGAGAGCCACAAATCAGTGTCCAAATGGTCAGCCACATAAACAACGTTACCTATACTCACATAGGTCAGCTCTCGATATAGTTATTTTGCAAAAAAAAAACACATGCAGGTGATTCCCAAGAAACGCTCAGAAACCGGCACAAAAAGCGAGATACCTCATGTGGAGGGTTGTCGACCTTTAGCTTTGCCATGTTGATCATCGCACAAAACAGCAGCTACAGGGCAGCTACCGGCAGCTACCTGGCAGCTGAACATGTGTGCCCATGGTGTCAGGCCCTTCACAATGAGTGTTTAACTCATATCACATCAGTGCACGGCACAATGAGTGAACTCATGTGTGCCCTTCGCAATGAGTTGACTTGAAAGTCAATTGGATGTTTTTGACTTTAATAACATATCACGTCAGTTCTTCGAGTGCACATCCCGAGCTTGCTGTTGTCCTTCCACAGATATAATGTGTGGACCAACATCACACGATACTCGTGAACCTTCTCGGAACAAATTGTTGTGTAATCAAGAATTCTCGTTTGGCTGCTTCTCAAGGGTCATCCAACGTGTACTTCTCCAACGGCATTGCATGCTTTCTTGCAAGTTAGCTAGCCATGCATCTCAGAGTCCCCCCAAAAGATTGCTCTCAACTTTCACGATCTGGGAGCCCTTGATTGATGACGAGTTTTGTCACATGATCATGCTTCTGCGCTATCTAGCAAAGTCTCTGTCACTCGCAAAGATCTGAATGCGCTGCCACTCAGGGGTCATCGCTCAAGACAAGGTGGGAGAAAACACAACCCAGTGAGTAGAGAAAACATGTGACGAACATTTGGTCCATTTATGCTCATTTATGTTGATTCCCTGAAATGATTGATCTCCAGCGAAACCGCGCAACTGCGCCTTTCGTGCAGGAGTCAACTGGCTGGCCTTCCCACAGCAAGTGATGCAAGTCTCGAACCTGGTTCGAAGAGCAAAGTCCAGGAAGCGTCTTACTTCATTCCAGAACATCAGCCAACAAATATCAAGGTCTTTTGTCACCCTGGCGTATTGGTTTTCTTGTCCAACAGGCTGGAACTGGGTAATTATACGGTACGGCTTTAGGAGAATGAACAAGCTCTCCCATGTTATCCACCAGCATGTTCGGGGGTTCCGTTCGAGATCGAAAGAAAGAGGGCGAGAGAGGTATCCTCAGGTCCAGTTCTTGTTCTCATTGAAAGTAACCGAATTGCGCTAAATGCAACATTGTGACATGTTGTAACATGTTGCATTGTAACACAAGGTTTTTTGCCCAATAAACACAACTATAGGAGTTCAATCAGCCAGCTGCTAGCAACACCACACGGATTTTTCAGGGGGCTCATCGGCTCATAACACCATCCTGACATGGACCACTAGGGGATCTGTTGTTTTGTGTTTCTTCTTCTTCTTCTTCTTCTTCCCGCTGCAACTTGCTGAAGTGGCTGGCCGTCATGAACATCCGGCCTTTGATTTAGTCGAAGAAACTTGGGTTCAGTTTGAAAGGGAGCGGACTTGGGGTCATTCCAAAATCCGCAGCTCTCAGAGTTTCTTTGACCGAAAGAGAGCTACTGCCTTCCATCTTGGACATAGCTGTACCTTCTGTGTCCTGGGTCAGCTTTTCCATCGATTTCTCCAAACGAGGAGCGGTATGACGTTCATCTTGAGGTCCATCTCCTGACTGTTTGGATGATCGACGCCCAGGCCGTCTAACGTCTAAAGAGCATCGAACAAGAACAAGAACGTTGTCCCAATAATTAGTAGGCAGGTTGCCAGGGTTTCCAGGCTTTGAATGTTGTTGTCCTTTCTTCGCAAGAACAACGCTCACATAGTGTGTGAACATGAATTTCATGTTGATCCTCAGATTCTCAGCGGAGTTCCTAGTTCATCAGGCAGCTTGTACGATGACGGTTATAAGTTATAACGGTTTTCCTGTCTTCATCTTCATCCTGTGGAGTGGCGTGGCGCTGCAAAAAAACCTCCACAGCTCGCCCTCACCCCGCAGCGCGCGCAACCCGGATCCGCGCAGCCGCCGCATCTCCTGCATCTCTCGGAGCAGTTGCACCGAGGTCTGCCACGCCGGTGTGGCGGCCTTGGCCACCGTCGCCAAGGCCGCGGAACAGGCCACCAGGTCGGGAGTCAAGGTGGAACCTGCGGTGTGGCGGATGAAGGTCCCGAGTGTGGCGGATGAGTTGCTGGCTTTCTTCTTTTCCATGTTTTTTGGTGAGACTGGAGTCGTGGTTGTTCGGTCATGTTTTTTGTCTGCTTCATGTCTTCGTGACAGTCACAAAGGCGCTCAGCCTGGAAATTCTGAATGCAATTGGTCTCACTCGACCAGGGTATGTGGAACCTTCCGCGCACGCACGGGCTCGGAACGGAGGGCCTGACATCTGTACCAGAAGTCCCAAGGCATTGGACCATCCGGAACGACCTCTCACGCAGCTGCCTCGGTCAGCCCATTCGTTTAGAGCGGCTTTCTCGCACGGAAGTCACACCAGTGCACTTGATGTGGTTTCTTTTGTATTTGTGTGGGATCTTCGGATGAAGGATTTGATCACCCCCATTCCAAGAAACAATGCAACAAAATCCCGTTACGGCCAACAGGTTGGTTTTCAGGGACATCTCACAGACTTCTCAAGGGCCGAGCCATACAAGGTCCTTCAGCCCACCACATTGGACTTGTACCTGGCTGTGCCTAGGCTCCCTCCATTGCTTGGACTGCCCAACCGCTGCCATTGATGTACTGGCCACCCTCAACAAAATGGGAGTGGAAGCCAAGGATAGCCAAGGCCATTAGGAATATATTAGGAATATATTCAATACATGATCTACCTGGCTGTGGCGGGCAGGAATCCTCACTTGAAGCAGGAGAGCAACATAGCTGGGTTCCACTATCGACAAGAACCATCCCTGTCACTGTGCCCTACGCGTTCTGACCGTCCCACTGTCTATTTGGAAGAAACACACATGACTAAGAACATCGGTAATGTCATCTGGAGTCTTCCTTCAGTCAACCCCGACTTTGAATTGGGTTGCGAACAGTAGGGCCACTACGAAGAATCGTGATGCACAAATAAACCGGTGGCAAAGAAGCTGCCAGGATCCCTTTCTGTCCCAGCAACTGATCGCAGTGCCGTAGAAAATCAAATCCTTAGGCCACACTCCGTGGTCCTCCATGCTGAGAACATCACGCTCCAGATCGGGGAATCAAAAGGCTTTTTTGATCAAGGAAAAACCGCCCAACTGAGGAAAGTCCCTGACATTTTCGGGGTCATCCACTTTGCTGCACTTTCGAGTTCAATCATTCAAACATATGTTTGTTGCATTTTTCTCGGGCTGGTTCAACTCCTCGCTGAGCTGGCATCTTGGCTGCCAAGTCAACATTCCTATTGATGTATCTGCATGGAAGTTTCCCACGTACATCATGACATTTGGTAAACCGATGACACTGTTGTGAAACGGATGAAGAAAATCAGCACCCCCCCAGCCCGACCCCATTTAATCATACTTTCGTTCAATTACAATGGTGGGATTCAATGATCAGAAACCCCGCCCCACCATTCGATGATTGAATCATGTTTTTGTTCGATGACAACGGTAGTGCAAATGAAAACTTTCAAAGGATGTGCAACAATGAAGGCCAGAAGAAACATGTATATATAGACATGTCAGCAGCCAGCACCCAACCCATCACAGTGAAACATGTACAACATGTGCAATTCAACTAAAATCTGAAGCTATACACAATACTGCTGTTCCGGGTTGATGTATACACGTATTATCATACATGTACTTCTTGGGTTGGGTTTTACATTCATGTTTTCAAGAAGTACATGTATGTACCCGAAGCGGAACCAAATTATACGTATATGTGTGTGTACATCAACCCGGAACAAGAGTATTGTGTAAACAAGTGCATTTACTGATTGGTCGGTGAATATGCAGAGACTCACATGCTCCGAAGTGCATAAGAAGAGCCTGCAAGTTATCTCATCTGCTTGGCTTCCTGCTAATGCGCAGCCTTGAAAATTGTCTGTGCTTTCGAAGCTAAAACCGCTAAGTTTTTTTTAGCACTTATTACACGTATGCCAAGATGCATACAAGTTCAACTATGGCTCCCGTACTTACTGAAGTTCCGGCTTCTATGACTGATTCAGCCATAGTTACCCCCTATAGAGGCTTTAGTTTGGCTGTAACTCAATGCAATTGTTTCTATTCCAAACTGGACCGCAAGGCCAGAAGGACGATTCCATGTGCAACTGCAGTTCAGGGTTTGTCGGTGGTCCCGCTGGTCCATCACTTCGAATCAACCTCTGCTTCGATAGGAACTTCCAGACTTCCCAGCCAGGTTGTTGCTATCCGTTTTAAGATGAGGCCCGGAATCGATGACTCATCGCGGCTTTGGAGCACGCTGAGGTGTATGCAGCGTCTCATGTGACAGCCAAGGCTCCAACTGAAGTTGACGCTCTTTAGCGTCTCCTGCCGCAGGTGATGTAAAGGTCACAGCGAACACACACGACTGTGGCCACGGAACAGAAGGACCTTCTTTGGCATAGGGTCGATGAGATTGTCTATTTGTGTGTCCCATCTCAACTAATCAGGCCTACTAGCATCCTTGCTCCGTTCGCAGCGAATGCCAGGAGCCCCGTTCGTAGCGTCCTTGTTCCTAGTAGTAAGGCCAGGAGCGGTCAACCATGTCGTCGGGAAGTCGTGAACCATTTTGTTCCGCTCACGACTTCCCATCCACATCCCGGTCGCAATGTTTCTTCGGTCGCAATAGCCAACGAAAGAACCCAATTCACCGAGAAAAAGAAACATCAAACTTGACAGCGTCTGACCTTGATCGAAAAAAAGAACACAGCGTACTACACGCTACGAGTACCTAGCATGGGTTCCGGGTGTCGGTCCCTGAAATGAGACACCTTGGAGATTGGAGATCTGAAAACTTTGCCTCCAGATTGAAAACCTTGAAGTTTCAAACACTTCAAAAAAGGAACAAAACAAGAATTCAGAAACATCTTGGACGAGAGATGCATGTAAAAGCCTATCAGCCTGTCAGATAGACAGATGACACCAAACCGGTTTTCTTCAAATCAAAGGATCCAGTAGTGGACGAACAGCGAGGGGCTTCATGATCGTCCCTGGTTTCTTCCTCCATCGTTCATCTCTTCAAAGAAAGTCTTTGAGCCGTTTTTTTTTATATGTGGGTCCGACCGTGCCAGCATTTTGTGTCTCACCCCTGCAACGCCCGCCCATCAGGATGTATAGTCAAACAAAACGTTAAATTCATAAATTCATAAATGTGTAATCATCAGTGGCGTCAATCCTGCCATGATGCTCGATGTGGGCTTGCTGGCAAGAGGCTTCAAACAAACAGGGCTCGTAAACACTATAGAGGGGAGTGAGATGAATTTTTATCACATGGATGACGAGATACGCATTCGTAAGGGTTATTCCCTCTGGTCAAAGTGCCTGGGGGGTTGCAGCTTTTCGCGCCCCACTGAGTACCCGCGCGAATCAGCCCCTCTGTTTGCAGGAAGCTGTGGGCCTAGGCTCCAAGCAACGTGTTTTCCAGCGATGGCGCAAATATGTGCTTGCAAATTAATACTCCGCAACCACTACAAACATCATCAAGTAGCAGTACGGCTGTGCAAAATGAGCGTGATTTCTCGCCACTCAAATGAAAGGGGAGAGTTTTGCATAGTTTAGCAGTTGAGCGGCTCTACTAGCTTGTTGGTTCTGAAAACCTGGCCTCGCAACTCTTGTGCAAATATAGTTAAACACATAATACGTAATATATATATAGTTACACTCATATATCATATTGTTAATTTATCTAAATATAAATACCCAACCACCAGATTCCATCTGTTGGTCCATGGCTCCGAATCCCGGAATGCACGGAACTGAATCTCTATCCGTTTGTTCCATCGAACACGTTGCGACGTCGCGTTCCTTCACCGATCCAGTTCCGAAGGACAACGCGATTCAAAGCCCCGCAGTCCGTGACAACAAGATTCACTCCATCCTTCGTCCGTAGGGGAACTCCTTCCTGCTATCCCCGGCACAAAAAGACTCCTTCGGTCCCCGCCTTCCGCGTCCTCTGGGTGAGATCTTCCAAGCTCACCGACATCCATGGCGCCCGGATGTCCAAAGCTCAACAAGGAACTCCCAGGTAAGGAAGGAAGGAAGGAAACCCAACTTCGGCTGGGTGAGGTGAGCTGGAATGGTGTTGGGGGGGTGGAAGGGTACCTTTGTGTCGGTCTTCTCTCCTTTTTTGGGGGCAAAACGGTGCAAAACGGGGAAGAAGCTTTGTGTTTCAGCAAACACTTCGATCTCTTGATGATTTTGGAGTGGCTTCATTCACATTCCATGAATCTGGCTGGCTTGCAGGCTCTGTTTCGTCCCCGGTCCGGGGTGGACATCAAAACCGCTGGATTCCTTCGTTGGGATCCTACGGAGCCCGTGGAGTCCACCCTTGCGTGCGCTTCGATGAGACGCGTGCTCTTTATGGGCTTCAACGACACGGTTCAACACGGTTCAACACGGTTCATTGGTCGGACCCTGTGCTCCAGGATGGTCCTTGCTTCATTTGGAACTCAGTTGACCATGCAAAACACGCTTGCAGGCCCACTCTATAGCTGGGGGAGCTGTTGGTCTCATGACTTCCCTGGACCAACAAACACTTGAAGTCATGGGCGGCCGAGCGTTCTCTCAGTCAGAGCCCCTCAGGTGCCAGTGGATCTCCTTGTCATACCACTTCTTGCGGTCAATGCTGTTCCAAAAAGCACAAAAACCGCGCAAACGGGGCCTCGAAATCCGATCTTTTTCGAGGAACCCGTGTTCAAGGCCTGTGGAAGACCTTGTTGATGCAAACTATGTGACTGCTAAAACTGCTGGCGCATAGGACACCCCGACACCAAGCCTTGAAAAAGGAGCCGTCGCAACTCCAAACACCAACAAACCGCAGGGGAAAACGCATGAACATTTTGAGACGTCTGGTTTTGCCGAAATGATGCTTTCCCAGCAAGCCAAAAACATCTTCGACCAGCCCACCAGCCGGGTAGACTCCACCACACTGGAACAAACGGATCAATGGTCATACACACTGCCAAAAAGGAATCTCGGAATCCGCTGTGAAACGGTGAACTTGATCGACATAATTGCCAGTCATTGGGGATCTACAAGGGTTCCTTGGAAACAGCTCCAAAAACGTAGACCTTATGCAAATGCTGAGACTCATGAACAAATGAACAGCTTGTTCTCTCGAACTTCTGCCAACATGAGTCATTTGAGTCCATATTTATTGCTGTTCTTTGGAACAAAAAGACCTGTGTCTGGACCTTGCTAGGAAATGCATAAAGTAATTTTGGTGGAGAAACCACACACCTGAAAAAGGTTTCGGAAACGAACCTTTAACAAGGGCAGCTTTTAAGTCGAATGCAATGAACAATTTGTCGCCCATTTGTTTGTTGTATACTGCCCACTGCCTTCCCACAAACATAGGTGCATTTCTTCTTTGCTCTACAACCTCCGTCCAAATACTTCTGATAAGTGTGTGTGCGTTTGGCCAGCTGACAGGTAGAGTTCTTCTTGTGTATTTATGCACGCCAACAACATAATTTGCAGTTTTTTGCCCATCAATGAACTGGGTTTCAGGCGCTCACTGTACCCCTCCTAACAAAACGCTTCAGGCTGCATCTAGGGACCTCTCTCCTCGAAAAAATGATTGGTAAACTATGGTGAACTCAACCACAAAACACACACCCACACCCACACCCAATCATGGGGCTATGGCCGTTTCATGTCCTTGTCCACGGCTGCCAACGATACCAAACTGTACCCAAACCACTTCCCACATCTTACCACAAATAGCTTCCTCCGCCCAAGACGGCTTCGCCTCACCACTTCAGGGCTAACAATGCCCCACGAACAGAACGCGCTCCTCCACCCAAAGTCGAAAGAGCCGACTGCCAAAACGCCGCTGCCGATTGGCCACCACCTCCGAGGGTGTCAGGACCTCGCGACAGGGCCGTATTATGGACTGCCGTGGACTCCCACATGACTGGCGGTGCTGGTGAACATGAGAGACAGAGTGGAAAGAACTTGTCAAACATGTTGCAAACCAGAAAAAATGTAAAGCAACAAAGGAGACTAGGAAGAATAAGCAAAGAAAACAATAAACAACATTGCACTAAAGTCAGTGCAATGGCTCTGGCCTTATGACTCTGGGCCATAAACGTATTATTCCAAAACTAGGTGTCAAACATTGAATAACTAGTTGAGTTGAGCTTTGAACAGCTATGTTTAGTGAAAAAGTATGTTTATGTCCCACAGGAATATGTGATGAACGCAGAAAGAGATCGAAGAACAATGAAACAAGAAAAGCACATACTTCAGCACATGTATGTCGCCGCAAGGTCAAGGTTGCCTCCCCGTTTCATCGCTTTTCAGGGCTATTCGCCGTAAAACACCCAATGCAGGCTTTGGAGCGCAAACGCGCGCGGCACGCGCTCCGGTTCGCCGTGCCGGTCCGGTGCCGACCAGAAACGAGTCATCCGAACCCGTGGCTCACGTCTCGGACCGTTCCGTCGCGAAGGGCCTTCAACTTGAACTAATACGTTCGCGTCCTCTTGCTCCGTTCGTAGCGATGCCCGAAATGCTCCGTTCGCAGCGTCCGTGGCTCCTAGTAAGGCCTGGAGCCCCTATATCCTGACTGGTTCTGGCAATGAGATGCAATTGGAGCGAAGTTTGGCCAGATTCCGACTCCAGCAATCCAGTCACACCCTGGATGGTCCCATTTCCTCGTTCCGGTCACCTGCCAGTCTGGAGCCGGAAGGCCTCTGCCCACTGGTTGATCTGAGGACTTGGGGCATATCCAGACCTCGGTTTGAGACCAGCTTTCGGAGCGGCGAAGGGGTAGGTCCGAAGAGGCGGGGATCAAGCTTTAGGACCGTTGTGTCCAAGGAACCTGGCCGCAAAGAATACGATGCAGGCAGTTTGAAGCCATATTACTATACGACAAATTAGTCTGACTGCTAAACCATTAGTCTGACTGCATGTCTCTCCCAGGAAAGATGTTGGCGGCTAGCGGATCCTATAGCGGTTCCTTCAGCCAGAGGGAATGGATCTGATCTCTGCGTGTTGGTACTGTTTGACATGGCGTGTAACAATTCTCAAGTAGCTGTACAAAATGAGCAAACAACATCCAATCCAAATCAAGTGGGACAGCATCAATCCACAGGTGAGTGGTGTTTTTAAGTTGTGTTTTGGGGTGCTTCAAGCTTTTTGAAGGAGTTCTCTCTTCATCTTCTTTCCATCATCTCAAAAAAAACGCTACTCAGGTTAGTTCGCATGTTCTGCGTGCTTTTGGATGGACATGTTGGACATGTGGTGCTTGGTTGGCTCTTCTCCTGCCCTCTCTCCATCAGTCTCTTCCCTCTCAGTGCATCCTTCCCCCCACGAAGCGGGCGTCCGTCTTAGCCAGGAGAAACTCCCGATCCATTTCGTTGGAACGCTGAAACCAAACTGTCCACTTCTTCCAGAAAACACATGGCCCACTTGAACATCCTCCACTCCCCATCCATTTGAACATCCCCCACTCCGCCAGACTCCCGCTCCACTCCCTTCGCCACTTTCGCCACTTCGATCCGATCCGATCCGTCGGGTCCGGTCTGGGGTCGATGGAGGCAGTGAGCGAAGCGAGCTCAAATCGCCCAAGAACGGCACGACGTCTGAGCCTTATAATATGAAGTGATGAAGGCGGCCAGTTGAACTTAAGTAATCCAGCAAAGACGCTCGGCCGCTTTGGCATGCTTGTTCGGCCGCACCCCCTATTCGGGCCAACGACCGACCTCCGGACCAAAACTGACGAAAAAAGTGCCTTGGCATGGAGAGGGTGTCCGTGAAGATGCGATGCCTTGGAGTTTTGCACGAAGAGAACCGCTGGAACGGAACAGACCAAAAGCAGGATGAGGTCGGCGGTGCATGGACGATGTGCTGGCGATTGTGCTTTGTCAATGTCGGTGGATCTTCCGTGGATTCGGTTTCGGCCCAGTTCCATGTCGATGGAGCATGCTTTGGAGACCAGTCTACAACCCCGATTCTCTTGGTGGTTGTGCACTAACTTCACATGGTCAAAAAACATCATGCTTGCTGAGCTGACAAATGCATATATAGCTGTGGATCAAAACCGCGTTCTTCTGCATCAACCTGGTGTCCTGAATCGCTTGACCCATACCGGTTAAACACGCAATCCTCACTGCTCCCTGCTTTGCAGGATGCCCTTCAGCAGCACCAGAAACCAAGATGTGACGGGCGGCTTGTTGCAGGATTCATGTTGCAAGCGTGTTCACTCGATATATTTGGGCAAAAATAATGAATACGTGTGTGTGTGTGTGTGCTTGCCAGCTTCTTCTGAGTAACCTTTTGGTAACAAATCGTCTTCAAGGCCACTTAACATATCAAACAAGTCACTTGGAAGAAGCTGGCACGCTGGCACGTGCAATATCAAAAGGTCACATCGATGGGATCACAGCTTTCCAAACTCGCTGGGACTCAGGTTTTATTAGAAACAAGAAGCTATTAGAAACAAGTGCATCGCTACTAGTAACAAGTGCCTTACTAGTAGTAACAAGAAGCTATTAGAACACCCTTCGGGCTCCCCCCTGGTCAGGCTCCGAGCTCGGCGTCCGCCAGCTGGCTCCGAAGCTCTTGCAGCTGATGCATCTGCGCTGGGGCACCCGCGGAGTTGGTGGAGTCGGTCAGAGTCTGATCCAACTATAAGGAAAATGGGGGTACACTCCGGTAACATGGAGCACTTGTCATTTTACCCATTTCATGGACCTTTGAGATGGAGTACCAATCTGAACTGGACTGAACCCGCATCTGCGCTCGTGTCGAAGCTGTAACCCATTCTTTTCCGAGGTAGAACTGAAATTCTTTGACTTCGACCGACTCCTGTCCGCTACGACCGAGGTAGACGAGGTCTCGGTTCGTTCGCGGAAAACAGCGAAATCGGGAAGAATCGGTCGACCAGTTTCTTCTGGCCGAGGGGTTTTGAAGCAAAGGAGGATTTCCAGCTGAGCAGCTGCAGCAATTATAGCCTGCAATCGGAGATGTGGTACAATTAGC